ACCTCCGCCGCATCTGCGAGACACGTCGCGCGCAGCCGCGCGATGAGGTGCTGGCGGAAGCTCCAGACGTTTCCTGCCGGAGATCCGAACTTCGCTGTCCAACCTTTGGTGCGGATGGTTGCGAAATCTGCTTTCCCCATGGTTTCAAAGTGGTGCAGGATTGCAGCAAAGACTGTGGATGGACAGTATTCATACTGTGGATGGACAAAATCCTGCACCACCTAGGAAACCCCTGAATCATTTGATTCCCCCTGTAAATTGCAACAAACGGTAGGGTTTCAAACATTGTTTCATTTCATGGTGCGAAATGGATTTCGCAACCCAACTGGTTGGTTTTTCCCATCTACCTATCACCTCCGGGACCCGGAAGAGAAAGGCACAACCAAAAGGGGAAATGGGCGGCTCGTATTGTCTGGAGCCTCGGTACCCATCTTGGGCGGCTTCAAAGGGAAGGCTTTTCAGGATGCAACCACCAGTTTGGGGTCCCCAATTTTAACGTGTGGATTGGGCTCTCACCCAGTTGGCCAAATCAAGATCGAGTAGCACTCTACGGAACAGAGGATGCCCCCATTCCCCCATTCCCGGTTAGGCTCCAAGTTAGCGGACTATACGCCAAACGCCAGTGGATTTTCACAGGAAAACACAAACTCCCAAAAAAAGTGGCCAATCATGGCCGAGTCCCCCAAAGGCCAAAAATTGGCACTGGACTTTCTTGGGAGAGCCGCCGTTCCCTGCGAAAAAGATCTGGGATCCCGGGGCCCCGTTGGGGGTCCGCGCCTTGGGGTGCCAGCGCGGCCACCGGCATCGGCGCCAGGAGGCGCCACCACCTCGGGCGGCTTTGGTTTCGAGCGTCCGGACGCGGGGATCTTTCCCACCGCTTGCTCAAAACGATTGATTCAGGGAGCGTGCAAAAGTGCATCCTTCTGATGTGAGCACCTCAACGGATTGTTGCAAGGTTTTGTGGCCCCAAAGGTTGACCACTATTTCTGTTTGCGGGCCCCTGCTCTTACGGAAGACGTCCTAGATTAGCTGGGGTCGATTCTTGATGGCGCTTCATCTACCCAAGTGGGAATCGGGATGCATGAACCAATGAACCTGCACGGAACTTGTTCCGTCCAAAAGCCTCGTCTTTGGGTTCGAATTCCGTTTATTTCTGGGGGCTGCGCTCCCGGTCCCCCCGCTGAATGTCTAACTTTTAGTGGCTTAGTGTTGCCCAAATCATTATGCATGGACACGCTGACTTTAACATAGTGAAGCAGCAGCAACGGCGAACTTCACTGTTGTTGGCATGTTTTTAGTTCTTTTGGGTTCTGTTCATTTTAGGGGTGGCTGCAACAAACAGTCCGTTTTTTTGCTACCATACTGGGGATGGACGACCTGATTTGAGTTCAGATGGCAATGGGCCCGACCACTTTGAACGCCGGGCTGCAGCGCGCTGCCCAGGGCCACTTCCGGGCAGGGCTGCCCCAGCTCTGACAGTAGCGCTCTCCTGGAGCAGTCGCAAGGGTCGAAAGCGGCCGGTGTCTCACTTGAGTGCAGCCAAAGCGTTCTCGTCTTGCCCCAAAAAACCTTTTGGCGGCTTGGATTGGGGGGGGGGGGGGGGGCTTTCCTTTCCGGGGCAGTTTCTTCTTTATCGGCCAAAAACAAAAAGGGCGCATCCCCAGCCCCGCAGAGCCTGCCTAAAACCCTCCAACCCCCCCCCAACTAGGATTGTAGACCCCTAAGCTGCGGCCCACTAAGGTTGATCAAAAACGCCATGGCTCGAGGGCTGAGTCCCGTTTTCATGCTTCCAGGCCCTCCAAGTATCAAGTTGACTACAAACACCACCTTTGCCACCGGGAGGAACTCACTCAAAAATCGGCGTTCGATTGATCCAAGAACTTCTTCATGAAATAGTTCCTACTCACTTCCGGAGTGGAGCAGCCACTCCGGAAGACCAAACCTTTTGTTTGCCACCGCCGGCCACAGGAACCCTCCAGATCAAAAACTTGGTCCTTGGGCCACAGAGGAAACCGAACCCATCTCCTATGTTTAGCTTGGGATCACCCCCCTCCCCCCTCGAAAAGCGGATGGACGGGAACATCCTTGCTGCAAACGGGGTCGGTGGAAAACCTCTCAAACCCGATCAATCAACCGGGGGCAGGGGGGTCGCCACAACTTCTTGACGCCAAGGAAAAACAAAGCTTACCAGCTCAACCGGTAAGAAGTCGACTACCCTTCTAAATCCGAAAATGGGCCCTACCCTCCTCCTTCCCCTCACCCTGCCAGGATTTACTTCAACCTCAAGCATCATGTTTTGCACAAAGCGCATGTGTTCCCTGGAAGCTTTCCGATTTCTGGGGAAACAAGGCACTCGGCTCGGCCCCTCCTCAGCCCCCCCAGGCAGAAGTCGTAGTCAGCAGTGGAGAGGCCCAAGGTGAGGTGCACCGACACATCCGCACCGGTGCTGGTGGTGCTGGTGGCATGGGGGAAGCCCATGGGGACAAAGAGCGCCTAAGCTTGGCGAACTGGGTTTTTGGTGGATCGCTGGAGCGATTCGGGAGCCGATCCCTGCTTTGGGTGACCCCATTGAATGGGTTCTATCGCAAATGAGCTTCTTTTTCTTTTGAACCGTTGGCATGATAGAACAACATATACGTTGCAGCCCCCTACTAGAAATGAACCCAACCAACCAATCAAAAAGCATATAACACAAAATGCATTGGAAGGCCTAAGGGCATTGATTTCAGACGATGCGCCTGCCCCGGCTGCAGCACCACATCCAGCAGCACATCGCCCAACTCGCTGTCCAGCAGCCGGTCCTGCGAAAAACTGTTCAACCCGAGCGGGCGTGTCTTTTTTTCAGGGTGCCCGTTGTTGTTGTGTTTCCCCTTTTTTCAGGTTTTAAAGGGGTCAACAGGTAAACCCATTTTGGGTGGTTCTCAAAAAGGACCAAACCCAAGTAGGTAAACCAGCAGGGCAAATTGCGATTATCCCAGATCGGGCGGCAATATTGCCCGCCTAAATCCCACCAGAATGGCTCTAAGAACCCTTCGATCAGAACCCTGTCAAGCAGAAGGTTCTAGAAGCCTTGCAATTGGTTGCTTCCCTAGTGGCCAGAAGTTCAGAAGAGGCAAGTTCAGCCCGCCCCCCTCCCCCTCCCCGCCCGCCGTGTGGCTTGGGCTTGCTTAACGGGGTCATAAGGGGGCCATAAGGGGGTCAATGAGCCAGGATTAGATAACTGAAGATGGATGGAACAAGCAACTGGTTTAAGAAAACTATGCTTTGATGGACCGTTGGGGCGCTTTGAACATCTGGGTGGCGGTGGGTGGATTGAGCACGAGCCTACTTAGATGATCCTGAAAATTGCTAAGTGCTTAGTTACCTTGTGCTTACCCCCAGAAAGCCCTTGTAAAATCCCCCAAGTCTATTTTGCAGTCAAGAACTTCCTTAAAAAACACATGCCCTAAACAAGCAGCTTGCAACATAGACTCTACATAGACTCCAAGGTCCACAATCCTCCCCTCCCCTGCCCGTTTTCTGCCGTTACCCCGTCTCTTCTGCCCCTTCGCAGCTTCGCAGCGCACCTCGTCCTTGCCGCGGTATAAAGGGTGCGCAGCTTCCCCGATCGAAGTTTTCGGCAGTGGCGGGCTGAAGATGCGCCAGCGCTTGGCGCCTCGCAAGTTTGGATGTGGCGAATCTGTGGATCCACCTCTGTCGGAGATTTAAAAAGAGTACTAAAAGATTACTAAAACATGATCAACAGGGGGAAGAACAGGTGAAATCCACAAAAGGTACATCCAAACTGTTTTGTAGAACCTGAGTGGGCTGCAGCAACGCCTGGTTTACACAACGGAGGACACTTGCTTAAATTCCTTTGGAAAACATGCGTGAATGATAGATTCCAACATATAACATACTCAATTCAGCCAATGGAAGATTTGATCAGCCTCCTTTGGGCTTGGTCGAAGTTCAGAGCCTAAACCCAGGATCCAAGCTTGTCCTTTGGTCAGGAATAGTCAAGGGCAAAGATGCCTCCGACGGTCCCAAACATTGACCCAGTAAACAGGCTCCTTCTGGCCTAGGGCGCCAACGTCCATTTGTTGAAACCCCTTTTCTTGCAGCAAATCCTGGCACCTTGGCTCTGCAGCACCAGCACATCGTGGTTGTCCGTGTGCACGTCCGTGGACACGGCACGCTCCTCATGATTGGGAACCCGTCCAGTAAAAGAAGGTGTACCCATCGCAGACGCCGAGAAACACGGGGAGAATGGGAACACATTTTGTCAGACGACTTTCTGGTTGATGTTGGGGGACAGCACCCCATTGAAGAAGGCTTGCGGAACGACTGGGGGCTTGCAATTTTCTAGCAATCCATGAAGTCGAGGCCGAGTGAGATGGCCCAGGGTGTTGCATGGGGAGGGGTTCCTAGCCACGCTAACTCCTGTCTAAAAAACCCTCCTAGCTTCAATCATACCCGCCCACGTTGCCCATGGAACACACCACAAAGTCCCTTGAACAGGAAGTGGAGAATGCAAGTAGCGGGCTGGGGATCACTCACTTCGTATTCGCCGCTCGCCACTCGCCGCTCGCCTCTCACCGCCCGCTCCACCCACACAGGAACCACTGGCACGTCGCCTTGAGGAACCACGGCACAAAAACCGTGGAATGTCCTATGAAGCTTGCCTGGGCCACATCTGGCGTACACGGAACATCATATGCTCTGACTCTGTTGCATACCTAAAATAGGCTAAAATAGAAAATCGTGTTGGGGGAGAGACCCCAGCTACAAGGGCCTATCCCAAAGCTTTCAGATCTTAAGCCTGGCCATCTGATTCAAAGAATATTATCCATCAGAGCTGCCTTCATCCGGCGAGAAGGCCGATTTCTCGGCTTCCGCTCCTTTTGGAACCGGAAGCTGAAGCTGTTGCGCACGGCGACGGCTCTCCAAAGGAAACACTGTGGCTTCCCCCCCCGGGCTACAAAAGCCACTTGAAGCAGGGCAAGGATATCTTCACATTGGGAGGGAGGGAGGGAGGGAGGGAGGGAGGGAGGGAGGGAGGGGGAGGGAGGGAGGGAGGGAGGGAGGGAGGGAGGGAGGGAGGGAGGGAGGGAGGGGGAGGGAGGGGGTATTACCAGAAAAAAGGAAGGCATCCTCTCAAAAGCCCTTTGTCTATTTCCGCTTTTCCGCTGACCAACTGGGTGCCTTAAAGGATACCTCCTGGCCAAGCTCAAAACACCTCCTCCACCTGGATGAGTTTCAGGGGGGGCGGGACCCGACGTTAGTTAGGCGTGGGATCCTGGCCGGTGACATAGACATTGACGTTGCTGGGGAACTGGAAGGCCCGGTTCGCCGCCAGACAGATCTCGGCCAAAGGTTTCCAGTGCAGCGACGCCGTGTTCAAGAAAACGGTGCCGTAGCGCAAGACCTCGGTCAAAACTCCAGGGCCCCGAATGTGGGGAACCCCACATTTCCGTCAGTTTTAAGGTGGAACCTCCATCGCTGTTGTTGTTTCTATTCTTCTTCTTCTTCTTCTTCTTCTTCTTCTTCTTCTTCTTCTTCTTCTTCTTCTTCTTTTCTTTTGTGGGGGGGGGTCCCAGTTTCAAGACGAGCCCAGCCCGTATGTGAATAAGAACTCTTGCAGTTGCCCGGCTGCCCAGGTCACCTATAGGTGCCCCCCCCCACCAACCCCAAGCAAAAGGCAACCCGCGGCACAAAGCCTCGTATGACTTTGTGCTTTCATGATGGCATGCACCAGGGGAAGAAGCGATTGGAGATTTGGGTCGCGATATCTTGTTGTTTGCTTCAACCAAGGGCATGTTCAGGTGTGTTTGGAGGCAAGGTGAGAAATAAAATGCCACTTATACTTCCCCCTTGTATAACCGGGTTGTTTCGAGTGCCCCTGAGCAAAAGGTCGACAACCTTTTGAGTGGGCAAAAGGTCGATAACCTTTTGAGTAGTTTCATGGAAAATCCATGCGGGTGTCATGTCTGATGCTCGGAACCTTTGTGTGTTGTGGGAAACCGAGCCTACCTCCGACCTTTGTTGGAGGGGGGTCTCAGGGCCTCTTCGGGAACCCTGTTCCACGCGTACCACATTTCAGGGTCATGCTCATGTGGCCGTTTACCACTTCCTTTTTGTAGAAGCTTTTCATATGACCTCCACATCGCACGAGTCCGTAAAAATACCAGGTGGAGTCTCAAAAACAAAGGTCCCAAACCTTGTGGTTGCCGCGGCTTCTAGCAGCGCTAGCAGTTCGATTTGCTCAGGAACTGCCAGGGAAATGGTTGCGTGGATTCTTAGCCTTGGAGGTCACAAATCCTATCGCCAAAGTGGCGCAAAAAGGACCCCATCCTCAAACTAGATCAATCGCATGTTCAGATAGGTTGCCCCAGGTATGGAGGCTTGTATGGCAATCTAAGTTGCAAGGCGGTGTGCACAGTATAACCCCTTTTGCGAGTCTTCACACCTCCAGACCCCATAGCTCAATATGTCCACGCCCAGGCTTCCTCAACCAGACATAAGCTCAAAACAGATCCCTGCACCCCATACAATTTCCGTGTGGCCCCCAAATGACCATGGGCAGCTTTTCCCATGTAAAGGACCTTCTGATCGACCCCCACCCTAAAGAGGACACCGAGGCCACCACCCTGCGAAGCCCGCCTCCAGCAACTGCTCCCTGGAGCCGATGGGCGGAAGGCCGATGGGGCATCGAAAGTTCTGGCCGTCGGTCAGCGTGAGCGCGCGCTCGCAGACCTGAATGGTGCGAAGTGGACTTCATCTTTCCACGGTGTGTAAGGTCTGCACTTTGTGGGTCACTTCAGGGAAAGCCACCAAGACAAAAAGTGCTGGGTGAGATATGAATCCCGCAACACTCTCAAAATGCACTAGTCTAAAGATTTGGCTGGCAAGCTTTATGTGGTTTGGAAAGCCGGCAATCCAAACCGAGCATGACTTACAGCCTGGGGCCGCCCGGTGCTCCGACATCGCAGGGGCCAATTAGATAAATGACTCTCCAAAAAGGTCTTGATTTTTTGGAAGGCACTTCTAACTGATGGTTCCCCCAATGTTCCTCTCCTGGGAAGCTCCACATAACACAATCCCCCAATCCCCAAAGGCAGAGGCCGCAGGGAGCGCTCTCACAAACAAACCCAAGGCCTGAGGCCTTAGATAGCCCTCTCTTGGCACAGCTTTGGGTTGGCATATGTGTCCAACCCATAAACGCTGCCTCTTCCGAAAAGCCATGTGTCAACCCTTTGACTGATCAACCCGCTTTTAAACCGAGCGAGGCGACTTCCCCCCCCCCAAACTCGAAAAAACATCGATCGTCCCTTGCAGGTTCGATAGGAATTTCCGTTGCTGCCCTGGGGTTGGTCAAGTCTCTCATCAGGAACCCACCATGCACCATTTTAAGAATCCTACCAGGGCACTGCTGCGTTTCAAAATCGCCAACACATCAACACCGCCACACTCAAAGATCAGCGCGCTCTGCATTGCCATTCACGTGATCTTTGACCACGGGTAATCCTCTAAAAACCCACCTGAGCAGCACCCAAAGCCCATTGGCTCGGTTGGTTCCACCAACATACTGTGGATGAGTACTTAATTTCGCACCGGTTGGAATTGGTGGTGTCTCAACCATTATTTCTAGGGCTTCATGCATCCCAAGTGGTAGGATGTTGTCCACCCACGGTCGAACCGCAATGCTATAATTGGTTTCATGGCCAGCACCTGCTAGGAACCACCTGCTATGGCTCTTTGACTCGGTGAATGCATTTTGGGCGTTCGGCTAAGACCAAGCCCCTGCCTTGGGCACTTGCGACAGGCCCTGCAGCACTTCCTGGAAGCTCCGCAGAGCAAACCCCCCGTCGCCCCCGTCCCCCGCCCCACCAAAAGCTAGAAACTGTAAGGGCAACGCATGGCCGCATGAAACCTCAGGACCCATCCATGGTTGATGACCAAACGCGTTCGCGGCATTTACTGTGGCGGACCCCTGACTCCCACAGCGTCAGAAAGCGAAAACATAAAACCCACAACTTCCCATTGTTTGACTTTTTGCGTTGCTTGCGCGACCCTCTGCGGGGATTGGTGTGGTCAATATGAACAAACTGAGGGTTTTCCCAGTTCGCGGAAAAGAAGGCATAGTACTGATTTATTTTGGAGGCGCGCGCCATCTTTTGCCTACCATCACGCGGGCAGTTGCACTGGCGAGTTGCAGTAGCAAGTTACACAAGAGATTTGCAAGAGAGGTGTTCAGTGTAGCACGCTAGAAAAGTGTCTTTGCGAATATTCTTGCGAACTCGCGCGGGACAGCAAAGAATGCGAAGCTCGACAAGTCGGCGACCTGCGCACCTTTGCGATCCAAAAGTCGACCTCTGCGAAGATTGGCGTGGTCAATGCCGAAAAGCTGAGGACTCTATTGATTTGGCTGCGCCCGAGCGACCCTGTGCGGAGGTCGACGTGGTCGATGTCAAAAAACTGAGGACTCTTTTGACTCTTTGCGGTGCTCGCGTTTCTGTTTGCGGAGATGGCTTGCTTGCTACGTACTGGTGTAATCCGCTCCTTTCGGGAAACATGTCGGTGTGTCTCAAAAGAGGGGACCCAACAAAATGGTTTGCTTCCTTAGGTCTCCTGTTGAAAGCCAAAGTGGGCCCCCTCAAAAAAAAAACACCCTCATGGACAGATCAGTCACTCAGAGGCAGGATGCCCTTTCTGAACAGCAAAGAAAAGGGTGCCAGCGGAAGCGGGACACTTGGCGGCACCTTTCAGAAGAAAAGCAACAAATAGCCAGCCATTGGCAGCAGGTTCAATACTGAAAGTAGTAGACGAGCAACCGGATTGCAGAAACGCTCAAGTTTAGGCAGGCAGGCATAGCATGCCACTTCATAGCCTTCCAACGTGAGTCCTTCCAAATTGCCCCTTGAAACCACTCCCAAAACGATATCAAATTGGAAGAGACTCAGCTTCAATGAGAACAAGGAATGCGCAAACACCTCACTCACACACAAACACATACACTCAGGACTACTCCTACAAAAGTGGCCCCCTTAGTCTGCAGTGGACAATTCACAACATACTAAGCCCTTCCTTTTTTTGCCTGGGTCCGTCTACTTCTCCCAAACGACCGCGTAAGAAACTCACTAAGACTCACTAACTGATGTCACTTGCTGCTTAGTAAACTGGTTGTTTGCTCTCCAAGTAAGCCTCGTTCTTCATCTTCCCCTGACTCTCCGCCTGGGAAGAGGCCCTCATATTTTGACACTTCTGCCGCACCAGTTAAATAAAAATGGATGCCCTCTCAAGGACCGCGCCCTGGAGGGACTCTACTTACCTCCAAATCATCCTCAAGGGCACACACACCTGTTTGTTACACCATTGGCCAAAACAGTCGGACGTGCCGGATCTTCCCTCAGATAAGGCCGATGTTGGGGTCGATTGCTCTGGGGAGACCTTTGACCCCAGTTTTTCATATGCTGATTCAGAAGCATCGCAAGGGTAGATCTTAGTAGTGACGAATCGTGAGAATTCAGGGCCGTTAGATCTTTCTGGGCCCAAAATCCAAAGCTAGCGATTGACCTTGTCAGCAGCAAGCCAACCCGCGCGTTATTTTCCACTGCCGCTCGCTGAAGATGCCACCACATCAAACGGCTGACTGACGCAAGCGCCGCTTTGCAAGGTGGTGCGGTTCACCTCGGAAAAACGGAACTAGCGCAGCAATGACAGGAGGACAAAATTCCTCTTGTCGCGAATGAAATATGGAACCACCAGGAGTCGCACGCCAAGGCTCTCGCACAAATGTAGCTTCCGTGCATCTCTCTCGCGCTGTTTGGAAAATGAGTCAGGGTCCCAAGAGTTGAAGAAATGGTCAGGATCAAAGTGCTGCTTACCATGGTATTCGAAAGCAAGATTTAAGGCAGCACAGTGACCATCTAACTGCAGCCTTGCCAGAAAAGTGGGAAAGCTTGACGGGAATTTGTGCGGGTAAAATATGCCTTCGAAGAGCTGTCTCACCTCAGCCTCTGTCCTCCACTTGCTGCGTGCACAAGTGGGACACCAGGTACCTCTGTGGAGAACATTGTCCGGGGTAGCTTCCCATGTGTGTCCAAACTTGCACTGCCACAGCACCTTGCTCTTGATACGGTTGTAGTCTGTCGCCAAGCACTTACCACCCAATTTGTTTGCATGTTCCTGCAAGCGACGCAAGCCAACCGGGGCTGTTCGAGCACAGTGTGGGCACCAACGTCCAGCATTGAAAACGGTTGATGCCGAAGCCATCCATGTGTGGCCCTGCTGGCATTTCCATGGCAGCTTTGTGGTGCAGTTCTTGTAAGTTTCTGCCAGGCATACACCGCCCTTGCCTCTTGCATGCTCCTTCAAGCGGCCAAGCCCAACAGGTGCTTTACACGTTTGGCACCACGAGCCGGCGTAGATCGAGTCAGCGCTGGCACACCAAGTATGGCCACGGCTGCAACGCCAAAGGAGCTTCTTCTTGCCGTGCTCGTATTGGTCAGAAAGGCACTCACCCTGCATCCTGCTGGCATGTTCCTGCAACTGCTTCAAGCGAACTCTTAGCCACTCCTGTCGCTGAGGACCTCGCACTGCTTTTGAGAAAGCACGTGACGTCAGTGCCACCGCGCTGATTCCCACAGTGTGCCTGACTGGTTGGAGTAGCACTTTCCACATGAGCTCGCCCTGCAGCAGCTGTAGCCACCTACTGACTGTCACCTCTCAGTTGTGCAGTCTGAGACGCGAGGCTGCTGGCTTTAGCACCCATCTTTGGCATCCCCTCACTGCTCACGGACCAAAAATTGCTGCACAAACGGGCAAACGTATGTGCACAGTAAACGGCAGCAGCCCGCAGGAACACGAACACGAGGCTGCCCACCCGAGATGAACAAGACAACACGCACTAACACCAAGGCAAATGCCAAAAGCACTCCCCAAACTGCATGGGCTGAATAGGAATATTCACTTTGGCACACGCAGCTGTTAAGACTTATCAAAGATTGACAAGCCTCAGGTCAAACTGCTTATACATCGCAGAGCATTGAGGTCCCCACTGACAAGGAAAACAAGGATAGGCCTGGCATCAGCCCTTGCACGTATCAGGCCTGGAGTAGCAAGTTAGCCTTAAGGGTTGCGACATTCAAACGTAGGCGAACCCACAACTATGAATGACATCGGCAATCAACATTTGAGCAATCTGCTCTTCCTATGCTATAAACTTTAAACGGTGGGTGTGTCCCAAAAGAGGGGGCCCAACAAACGGTTGGCTTCCTCTACGACTCATGTAAAAACCAACCAAACGTGGGTGCCCTCAAAACACAACACACACACACACCATGTACAGATCGGTCACTCACAGGAAGGATGCCCCTCCTGAACAGCAATCAACAGGTCGTCAGCGTGCATGCAAGCTGGGCTGGCAATGGCTTGCTCAATATTTCAGAAGAAATGCACAAAATAGCCAGCCACTGGCAGCAGGTTCAACACTGAAAGTAGTAGACGAGCATGCTCCTAAAGTAAAGCAAGGATTGCAGAAACACAAAATTTAAGGTTTAGTTTAAGGCAGGCAAAGGCAGGCCACTTCGCAGCCTGCTCAGGTATTAACAAACAAACCCAATAATCTTTGCAGACCCCCCCCCCCACCAACCTCCTCCCGTACAAAGTGAACAGGTTAGAAACAGCTAAACCGCATCCTTGGAAGTGCTGGCTGAACATTTGGAGCACCTCTCACCTGTGGCGTCGCTTTCCACTGGATAGGTTAACTCTTGGTGCCCCTTTGACGCCAGCCCCAAAAGCGCACCAAATCCCACAAATACGGCAAATTCAAATGAAAACAAGGCATGCGTAAGCACCTCACTCGCACACACACACACACACACACACACACACACAGCCACAGCCCGGCTCAAAACAAAGAGGCTCCTGGAGTAGACGATTAACGACATACTGAGAACATGTTCCATCTCTAGGCCCGTCTACTTCTCCAGTCCTGCATTCAGGGAGCCATTTCAAAAATATCCATGGTTTGCTTCTTTGAGTTAAGTTATATATTTTTCCCTGCGGTTGCCAAGAGAAAAGCCCAGGTTCATTATGGTTCGTTCCCTCATTCCTTACTGAGCACCCGCACGCAGGCCAAAGCCCTTCCCCGAAGCCCATCGGCCTCCAAAGTCAGCACGTCCCGCACGCAGGGCGCCGGCACTACGCAGGGTCCCCGGGCGTCCTGGCAACCCAGCTGAAACTGGGCAACTGAGCACCCTAACCTCACGTTTGGTTTGGTTTGGTTTGGTGTGGTGTGGCTTGGTGGTTTGCTGGTTGGTTTGGCTTTGCTTTGTGTTTGCTTGCTTGCTTGCTTGCTTGCTGGCTGGCTGGCTGGCTGACTGGCTGGCTGGCCGGCTGGCTGGCTTGCTGGCTGCTTGGTTGATTGTTTGTTTCTTTATTTATTTATTTACTCATGTTTGTCTTTCTTTCTTTGTTTGTTTGTTTGCTTGTTTGTTTCTTTGTGTGTTTGTATGTTTGCTTGTTTGTTTCTTTGTGTGTGTTTGTTTGTTTGCTTGCTTGCTTGCTTGCTTGCTTGATTGATTGATTGGTTGGTTGGTTGGTTGGTTGGTTGGTTGGTTGGTTGGTTGATTGATTGATTGATTGATTGATTGATTGATTGATTGATTGATTGATTGATTGATTGATTTGATTTATTGTTGGGGGGGTTGGTCTGGACTCTTTTTAATAGACCTCAAGTCTATTTTGTGAATGGGGGGTGGTCTCTGAACGTGTCGCGCGGGATGTTCCAGTTTGACTCATCCGAAATGCTCCACTTCCTCGGTCTTCCTTCCTTGGATGTTCGATTCGCCAAGCTAGGAAGTGGCTAGCCAACCCACTAACAGGTTTAAGTTCACTTTGCAGAACTCAGTGGGTAGCCGTTATAGCCGTTATGGTTACCAACAACTTACCAAATTGGCGAACCAACTTCCCAAAACCTTTGGACCCATCTTGGAGGCTGGTTGGGTCCCAGGGACCTTCAGAAAGACGCACCCACCAAAATCTGCTGGTTCATTCCCTTCCTTACCAATCGCCCAAGCAAGAAACTTCCGGAAAAACCCCCCATGGACCCATCCGCTCGACGGCTCGACGCGCTTCGCGCTTTTGGTACCCCGCCTCTCCAGCCCAAAGGTCCCGGAAGACTGCGCTGCACGCCAGGCCCTCGAAGAGCTCCTGGCGCATCGAGTGGTCGAGCCCTCTGCCAGGTTTGCCTTCTTTGGAGGGCAAAGGGGACCAAAAGGAAACTTTATGTTTTGTGTTTTCCTCTCTCTTGTTTTTCGTGGGCGGAAGGGGGTTCAAGAAAAACCAAAAGATATCTATATATTTTTTAGGGGTGTGTGCTTTGTAACTTGAAACAATCCCATATTGCTGACGCAGAGCCATTCCACCGCCTAGTGACCATTACAGCCTTGTTGGTACCATTCAGGACGGGGTTTTTGCTGACCTTCCCATGGCTTTCCTTGGCTCTGAACCAAATTTGGACACCAAGAACGGCCAAAAAACTGCTTGCTCAAAGGGGAAATGACTCCGAACCATCTGAATTTCTTTCTTGCAGCTGGGTTCAAAGATGTTCATTAGGGTTTTGGCTGGGAAACCGCAAGATTTAAGAGGCACACCTGCAACCAAGTTCCTGAAAATGTCAACTTGAATATGTAGCTAAGATGGTGAAACCACCCAAGCAAAGCTACACAGACCCAGGGGCCCTGGGGTCAACAACTAGTCCACTATCTTGTGGGATCCCGCCTCCCATGGCAGTGGTTTTGGGGTGGAAGCCAAACCATCTTGGAGAGCTTGGGCTAGGAGAAGCGTGTGATGTGTGGCTTCCTTGAAGGAAATATCCTCCCCCGAAAAAAATAAATAAAAGGATCCTGCACGGAAGTGTAGTCTGGAGCAAAGCCTCTGTCTCATGACATGACGCATGAAGAGTTAAAGGTGGTTGAAAGCCAAAAAATACAAACAAAAAAGCAACCTCATTCTAGAGCTCGGTGTCTGTTGCGCTTGTTAGCCCCTCCCTTTCACCCAAAATTCGGGCCTCGATACAGCGAGGCTGCCCGGGAACTTCCTGCCACAACCGCTCCAAGCGCGGCCTTCGAAAAGCACGTTGGGATGGGATGGGATGGGTGAAGCCCCATGAAACCCAAGCTGAGCCTATGGACCCTTTGGCGTTAGGCCCTATTAGGCGTTAGGCTCCATTGGGATTGGGGGGGTCGCTTTTGCGTGGTGCAGGAGTTTGTCCATCGGTGGTTTCGAGGGAAACCACAGCAGTGGCTACTTACTGTCTACCTGGGCTGAACGCACGAGCAAATGGGTTTATCAGGCCTCCTTGCAGGATGCATCCAAAATCCACCTTGACAAGCTGGCCCAAACGCCCCCTTTTCTGGGAGCTTGTGGGAGGCTCGTCATTTTCAGATCTGCCAGGCCAACTACCTTTTCTCCGGCCACTGAACCAAGGCTTCATAAAGTCCTCAATTGATTTTGATTGGAAGGGGGAACCTCCCATTTTAGACAGCAGTATGCTTCTTGCTGGAAGGTTCAAAGGGTCCCTTTTCCACAAACAAGGTTTTGGCATTTGGCTTCTGGCAAGCACCGGTGTCAACATTGGCAGGCCAACCAACGACTCAACATACTTCGCGAACCTCATTCGAGATGTCCTAGCCCTCCCCACGGCTGTAGATTTCAATCCCGCTTTTGCCAATTTTAAAAGGGGCGTCCTCCCACGTCTCGCAGAATAAACCCGCAGTTCCCACCACCATCCTCCCAAAATCCCACGAATCCCCGCCTCAGCGCGCCACCCAGGGCCAGCCCCAGCTCCGCGCCCCACGCCTCCGCGGAAACGCCGCGGAACGGCTCGGACTGCGGCCGCGGCTTTGGCGCCAGCCGGGCCCAGGGCGGGTCGCTTCCGGCCTCATCGCCTCAGTCGGCCCCCATCCGAAGCCCTCTCTTCAGCCGGCAATGAACTCCTGTGACACTCGCAAGCAGCAACTCACTTGCCCAGTTCGGACCCGGAAATGACAGGTTAGCCTTTTGGGATCTTGACGAAATTTGGACGGAAAAAGGAAAGCAAAAGGTCAAAAGGTCGACTCGCTTTGGGTAAGTGAGAAAAACGGAACAGTAAGCGGGGGGTATGGCGGAGCCAGGGAAGTCGACACGCACCAGGACAAAACCCGCAAACCAACAAGGAAACCTTGCAGAGAGCAGTAAGAGATGGGACGGATCAAAAGAGAAAAAACCAACTCATGCGATCCACTAGCTCCAAATCCGGACACGGACCACGCAGGGGCACCGAGCTCAGTCGCATGTTGCTGAACGCCCTTGAGCACGAAGGAATGAGCTCTAGGACGATATGCAGCATCAGATCATCCCACGCAAGCCGTGGCATTGTCAAAACGCCTGCCAGTTTTGGCCATGGCTCCCACAATAGGAACCTTGACAATGGAACCATAGGCTCCTTCTTAAGACCACGAAAGATGGCTTCAGCAAGTCGCAATGCCAAGAAAGCGCCCCAGCATCCACGAAACACTGGTTCATTCGCTCTTCGAATTCACATGGAGCTTCTTTCCAACCGTTGGCATGTTAGCAAACAGCTTTTTTGCCAGCCCCCTACAAAACATTAAAAAAAAAAAAAAAAAAAAAAAAAAACATAAACGGCCAAAAACCATGCCAACACCAGCGAAGGCTTCCCCAACGAATGCCTAGGACACTCACAACATCAAATGCACAAGCTAATACCACTAGCTTTACACCGGGCAGCATGGAGAGGTCACATGAAGGTTCATAGCAGCAGATGCTCATGTAAATGCACCTAACAACAAAACTGCTGGCAGCCTTTGGCTCCGTATCAAACTCCGGGCCCCCCAGAGCGAGGGGCTCCGCGTGGAGTCGCATGAGAGGACCTCGTCCTCCCAGAGCTGCCAGCAGCTTCTGCAGTACCAGGCCCCAGCATAGGGGCCGTTCGTGGCACCCCAGCCTGACCCCAAACGGAAACTCGGTTTACATGGCCCCAAAAGAAGATGCTTGAACCAGCCACAGAGCTGGGCTCTCCAAACTGATCCCCTCTGCTAAAAGTTTAACTTGTGGGCTAGATGGAAACCCCCACTAAACCCTAAAAATCTAAACACCTACAGAACCGGACGGCTGGGAACCACATAGAAAGGGAACACATAAGAAGGAATCTGGGTTCTGCGAACTTCGCAGCCAAACAAGCGGCTCCAGGCCCCTTTTGGTCAAGCGAACCAATGTTATGTACAAATCGCCACTAGAAACGGGAAGCTTCCTGATTTTGCCTTGACCTCCGGATTGGTCCAAGTTAAGCTTCCCAACAGCAAGGGTGCAGCCCAGAATCCCTCGTTTTGCCCCAGAGCTCGACTTACCCTGAAGACTTATCTGGGTCAGGGGCGCTCTCCATCGCCACTCTCTGGCTCATGGGCTCTCGGACCAACCCTACCGCTACCAGCGACGACTCGGAATCAGTGTTTTTTGGGGGACCCCCACCCACTCACGGCCATGTTTTCTGCCAGTGCCGAAGTCACCCCCCAAATGGTAGGCTAAAGGGGAACCATGCCAGTTTCTGACTTTGATAACACCCAGAGACTATCGAAACAATGACCCAGGCAAATGCAACCTGCCCGAAGCCCGACCGCCTCCTTCTGCAGATGGCCTGGAGCATTCCTGGCACGTGGCCGCCATGCGCCAGCCGCCATGCGCCGGTCGGGGGAAACCTTTAAACCTTGCGAGCGCGCCGTCTCGTGGTTGGCAGACCACATTGTGGGGTTGGTAGTTTGGAGGTTCCGGGGTTGCCTTCGCATTTGGCTTCGCCAACAAAACTGTGGTTTTGGTGGAGCACCAGGGGCTTGGCGTCAGTCTGGCTGCCCAAAGTAGCAAAATGTAGGGTCGGGCAAAAGCTGAGGTAAGGGGAAATCTAGTTGAGGTCAGTTAAACAATCCATCCATAGTGAGATTCCTTTCGAACCCCTAGCGATCCAGGGAGTCCTGAGACTGGCGGATGGTAGGGGGCCCACGGAGGCGTCCCAATTCTGCAGGGTGCATTCACTTCTTTTGTCGCCCCATTCATGCGTTGCTGAGCCGAGACAGGCAGCATGTGGCTGACTGGCTAACTCGCAAGTACTGATTTGAGGACGCTCCTTCACTACTGCTGGTTCACATCCCAGGGCCTGAAAAGTTTACACTTGTATTTTGGCTCCAGCCACCACTAAGCGAAAGCAAACAAAAGCTCAAGTGTTTGAATGTTTTTGGACAGAGCCGCAAACTCCTTGGCTCATGCTCGACGCAACCGGCATGCCAAGCTACAAGGCCAGACCGAAACGGGGGGACACCCGGATGGTGGAACTCGAAAGCGTAGGTCAAATGGTCGGTTGAGTCTGGCACCGGTTAATCAGAATATCGCGCCAGGGTCCAGTCAAGGTGGATGCCTTCAGCCTTCCAAGGTGAACAAGTTGGAAACCCCGTTTGCAACTTCACCGCAACTTACCGTGGCAACACCATGGTTTTGTAGAAACCCTATATGTATACATAATATATATATATATGTGTGTGTGTCTGTGAAAAAAGACCCATGCAGTCACTGCAGCATGCGCTGGTTTTGGACGAGCTTCTCTTACATCGCTGGAATCCACCGTGCCGGCGGTAGCTGCTTCCACTGCTCCAGGCCTTGAGATCGGATCCTGGGGGGCGTCCAAATACTTCCGGGGCGCAATCCTTTTGTTTGCGTTGTTCGCCCCCTAGAAAAATAGAAAAAAGTGTGTCCAGTCGTTTCAATCGACTCCATGTCAAAGAGGAAAAGACATGAAGTGCCGAAACGCAAATAGAAGCCTCCAATCTTCCAAGTCCTCCTTGCACTTCTCTCCAGATCTCGCCGAGCGTTTGGAGCTCCATGTCGGGCCTTGGCATGTTGACAACTCACTTGCAACCAAAGAGCCTGGAAAAGCCACGCTTTTCCTTTAGAAAAACGGAGATGACCTTCCTTTTTGGAGGAAGCAGGCTGGAGAAGCCAGGGGAAAACATGTGTGACACAGCTCTCGCCTCCGGGTTTCTCAAAAGCCTGTGACCTTTTTTTACCTTGACCGAACAAAGGAAAACCAAACAAAGGAAAACCAAAAGGCCTCCTAGACCTCCAGTGGTCTGCAAAAAAAAGAGGGCAGTTGGTTCTAAAGGGAAACCCCTCCAAAAAAGAAGCATAAAGGGCAGGTCAGTCATCTGAGTCCAAACTGAGCCCAGCTGCCAGCGCGACTCGATTCCGAACCGAGCGCGGTTCCAGAAACTGTCGGCTGGCTCAGTCCAGAGCCTCAGGGTTTGGGTTGAAACAGCTCCCGTTCTCCGACAGCTGGGATTCCGTTTTTTGGCTTGGAATTGTTTGATAGGGACCCTGGTGGACATCAAATCTGATGAGGATTCATGCCACCAATCACTCTTGAGTTCCAATTGAAAATATATGGCCGGATCTGTAACTTTGTCGTATTTTTCAGGGGGGGTCCCTAAGGATTTTTTTTATCGGGATTCATAAACCTTTTGCGCAAAAAGTAGGATGGGCTTATGAATTCAGCGTTCCCCTGCTACTGTGGATGGACGAAATCCTACACTACCTAAGAAACCTGGAGGATGATTCCTCTCCTGCAAATACCAACAAACCTTGTGGTTTCGACCATGGTTTCAAAGTGGTGCGAAACGGATTTCGCAAACACCCACCGTATTACAGAAAAAAAGGGCTCTTAACCCGAACTTCCCACAAAGGCCTCGTAGGTCCGCGGCCGCCCCGACTGGTCCAGACCGCGCAGACGACGCTCCTGCAGCTGGGGCGTGCCATCCGCAAAGGCCCACCTCATGCGGAAGCGGATCGGAGCAAAGATCCGATTGGGCCGACCGGTTTGAATCGGGGAAAAGGAGAAGATTGGACACCAAAAGTAGGGAGAGGCGTCATATGTGGGTTATCTACTACATATGGCCCAAAGTACGTTCTTTAAATATCACCTACCATTTGGAGCCATAGTATGCGGGGTATACAAATCGCGCCCCTCTTGGCATGTTTTAGTACGCCGGGTTGAGCCCTAAATTGCTCAAGAAACGCCCACAATCTCCCGGTCCTGCGTGTTACGCTAGTTCCAAGAATGAGCCTGAAATAGCCCAAACCTTCAAAGACCCGACCGGCACAAGGATGTGCAGTTGGTGCAAAGTGCCGGTCGAAACCGCCGGAAACCAACTCAACGGAACCAACAACAAATCTTTGCTTCCCAAAGCCTCCATTTGCTTGCTAACCCAACAGAGGGAGAAAAAACAACAAGAACAACAAACATATTCTTAAGCAAATGGAACGCTGAAACAGCAGGTGTGCTTCTGGGGTTTCTGGCGTTTTCATCATCTAGAGGCGCGGAGCGAGCGTGCTTTATTGAACCAAGCCCCCCATCACCATCCCTTGCGCTCTTGGGTCCCTGTTTGTGTGGGGATTCCTCTCTTCCGGAGGGCTGGTTGACGGGCTGCTATTGATCAGATGTCAAGCGGGCTTAACCTGTCGGCGATTTTGGGGGCCCAGTGGGAAGGAAGCCTGTGGTATGAAAAAGAAACTACAAGGGCCTCAGAAAAAAATGAGAACGGGGTTGCGGGACATGTTAACACCACATGAAGTCACGATCGTATTTAGCCAGCAAACTTGCAAAGCCCGCTCGGGTTGCAGCCTCAATTCCCCACACACATCGTTTCACCTCCCACGAGAAGGGAAAGATGGGAGAGGAGGGGATCCTTGCTCAAGTGACCTTCAGCGCCCCACAAACAATAAAATGAGAAAAACTGCTGATGGATCCCTGAGTTCGGGGCAATGAGCCTTTGACGGAGGTGCTGACAATACAAGTGCCACTTTCAGGCCGCTGTTAAGCCACTCTAACGGAGGCCCCCTGCGTACCGCAAGGGGTGACAACACAAAAAAGGCACCGAAAGAAAGCAACATCACAAACTACAAATGCCCACCACCAACAAAAAATCAGCAACAAAGAAACGCAAGGCGCAACTAACAAATGTTTGAAAGAACAACCCAGCAAACAAAAGGCACAAACAAACAAAAAACACGTCACAGAAGCAAACTTATTTCACGAGCCGCAGGATGCTGGTGAGGTCGTTGGGGCTGAGAGAAGCCGCGTGCGCCAAGGCCACCTTCGCCAGGGAGCGCAGCAGCTGGTTCCAGTCCTCCGGGTAGGTCGCCTGGCCAGGTATGGACTTTCAATCTGTGGATGGCGGCGATATCCATTTCGCGCCGTTTTTCTGGGAAGAAATGGTTGACAAACCAGTCCCACAGATACCACCAGTCCCAAACGGGTGCAGAATGGATTCTGTCCATCCACAGTAGCAAGAGGAGCCACAGATAAGTGGCATTTGGGCCGTGAAAAGAACCATCTGCGGCCATGACCTTCCCGTGTCTTGCGGTTGATGTTAAAGTGAAGCGCCCTCCAATACAGGGCGCTGCAGGCCTAGCTCAAACTCCCACACGCGGCAAAGGTTTGTCTTGCAAAGCTGACTGCGGCAACCAATCGGGACCAACAAACCAAGCAAGCAAGCGAGCAAGCAAGCAAGCAAGCAAGCAAGCAAGCAAGCAAGAAAGCTAGAAGCCCTTCTTGAGCTGGGAGCCACCCGGGTAACAAGAAAAGCCCGAGTGATGTGTTTCTTTCTCGAATGGGTTTGCCGGCTAAAAAAATAAACTTCGTGGGTGGGTTGCCCTGGCGCCTTGTAGAGACACAAGGCCCACAGCGTGTTGCTCAAGTCCTCAGATGGCATAGGGATCGGGTTCCATTCGAGTTTTGGAGGGTCCGATGTTTTGGCTGCCAGACAGGTCCGCAACGCCAAACGTGGTTTTCACGTTTGCCCCTTGGGAGCAAACCCAAAAAGTCAACAAGTTGCCCTCTCTCCCACTTTGCCAACTCCAAGAGGAAGCTGATCTTCCAGGTACCCTCCCACAGGTGCCATGTTAGTGGGAGGAATGGTAAGCCTTTGGTCTGGCTATGTCTGGCTTTTTGTTGTCACCGACATCCTCAGAACCTTGGTGATTCAAAGGGAAGCCACCGGGTTCAAACGACACTTTGAGCCATTCAGGGGGCCCAGCGGGACTGGTGGAGCTAATAGGTGACCTTTTGTAAAAATACATGGGTTCCCTAGTTAATGGAACAAATCTAAACAAGTGCCATCTCCTCTATGTCTAGCCAAACTTGCCTGGGTACAAAAGATCGATGAAAATTGACCCGTGCCCCACCTGTCTCCTCACTTCGAAGCACTCTTAAAGGGAACTTTGGTGGACATCATTTGGGCGAAGATGCATGTCCATCAACCACTTTTTGAGGCAGTCCTGATTCAATTCCAAGCCATTGTTGAGACCCTGGTCTTCCCAGAGCTCCCCAAAAAGCTCCCTCAACACTACTCTAACATGGTTGCTGCCATTCGACCGATTCCATCGGCAGGGTAGAAACTTTGCCCGAAGAGCCAACAGAAATCGAACCAACTACATAAATGCATCATCTAGGTGTTTCTCAAAAATTGGGGACCCCTCCAAGTAGTGGTTCCCTTTTGGTTTCCTGTAAAAATTCACGTCCCCTATTGGAAACACCGCCCACCTAACCCGGTAACCCAGGCGAACACCAGCTGAAGACCACGCCAAGGGTCCCTCCCATTGAAGGCGCCCGCGCATGGCCGGACGGCAGCCAAAGGCGCCCGCAGAGCCTGGGGCCACAAAGCGCAAAGCGTGCGCTGAGCGCTCGATTCAAGGAACCCCCAATGTTAAAATAGACATCTTCCCAAAAAGCTTTGTGCTGCCAAAACGGGGCATGCAGATGTGAGGAAGAAAAGTTAAAAGCAACATGTCCCCCCCGAAAAAAAGGGCGCTCAAGATCCAACTCAGTATCATTCATGACAACAGACGCCCGCCCCCCCCCGCCCCGAGCCTCAGAGTCCCATAGCGCTACAAAGGCAAAGCTCCAGAGGATGTTCGCCAAACTCTGCGGGGACAGCTCCTTCGCCTCCGCCTCTGGGACTCCAGACCCTCCCCCCAAAAAAAAGCAAAAACACTGTATGTTCAGACTAACCCCCCCCCTGCAAACCACCGACCGATTCGGCTCCAAACCACCGATTTTCGAGGGAAGCTGCTCTGCACCCTTCAAAACACTTCAGACCCGTCGCTGTGCCCAACGCGCCCGAAGCGCGCGCCTTGCGCGCCACGAAGTGGGCCACCAACTGCAGCAGCGGCTCGTCGTCCTGGGAGCTCACTGCCAGGGACCAGGCCAAGTTGCTCAGGTGCCGGCCCTCGAACCTCGTTGGATGTTCCCGGAACGCGCGAGGGAAAACGGGGCCATGTTTTTTGGGACTAATTAGGTACGTGGACCCTGAAACCACGCGTAAAAAACGGGTTCACCCAATAATTTTGGGCAACAAAGTAAAATTATTGGGAATGTTGGGGGTGCAGGCAGATATGCTTTCCCCGGAGGGTTGTTGGAGAACCATTGGAGTCTTCGAGCGCTTGAGGTTTGGCCAGCTTTCGAGATAAGGAAATGGCCAGAACACTTACGCTAACCAAAAGTTCCGCAACCCAAAAGGGCATTTCAAACAGAATCTTCAACCAAGCGCTTCTTAATAAACGAGGAGGCCGAACCTCGGATTTTGCAAGGCTCAGGGCCCAAAACGAACGCAAGGAGAGCACACGAGGTTGATCCAAGCCATGAGACCTGGTAAACACTTCGTGCTCTTGCCGGCGCTTCTGTTCATCTTTCAGGGTTCGCTACTCCACCCACCCCAAAAGGGAATGCCACTCCACCCCAAAAGGGAACTCACTCCAGATTGGAAAACGAAAGGGTCACGTTTAACGCGTTTAAAACCACGAGTGGAAATAGGGAACCCTAAGATCGGAATACGTTTCTTAATCCACAAGGAGGCGCCCCTAGCCTTCAAAACCCAACAGAAACTTCGTTATCAGCGGGTTTCCAGGATCATGTTGGCCCTGGTTGGCTACGAGCCAACCGAGGCCAACATGAGGCTGACCCATACACTGGTTTTAGTATAACTTGTGGTGTGATTATGCTTCAGGTGGCTTGTCATCGCTTTCAGTTGTTGAAATGCCCGAGAGTGGTAAATTAAACGTTGGCAGCGAAGACCAAAATGGAAGATCTGACTGCTTCATGACCCGGCCACAGTCATAAATCAGGGGTTCTGAATCGAAGAATGGATTCTAAGTACAAAAACGACGCCTCAGATTGGTAACTTGCGGAGGGGGGGGTGGAGTACAAGATCCTGCATACCACCACCAGCATCACCACCACCACCACCACCAGCACCACCGAAGTGGGGCCTAACTACACCCAGCATCTCACTCCAGCAACCACGGTGGAAAACCACCCGCAATCATGATACCGAGGTGGTTGAGCGGCAGGGGTCGCTGCCGTTCCTCTGCAGAGGTTGATCAATTTATTGGTGCTGTCCATTGGTGCCACTTGTGGAAGCCGAACTTCGGGTGAAACCCAAGGGGATTCCAAGCCCTCGACCTAGGATTTGCTCATTTTAGGCAAAGATGTCTCCGACCTTCCCAACTTCTCCATTTGCAAATAGGCCCCCTGGAAAAAATAGAATGTCCAGTAGTGATAGATTCACTTTGAAACCAGCACAAGTATTCTTCAGCAAATGGAAGCAAGTAGGACCCATGGTCGAGTTTGGTGAGAAGCAATGCCCTCAAACTTATGGAATCCCAAAGCGGAGTAGGTACAAGGCGGGGTAGTTGAGAGCCCTAGCGTTCCTTAGGGTTCCTTAAGGACCAACCCCCCCCCCCGGACCACCTTTCCTTCGGGAATCCACAACCAGCGCCCGGACTACTCGCTCCAGGCTGCTCCGGCATCTGCTTTGTCGCCTGGGCACCGATAGTAGCCCAGAGCTCCTGGCAGTGGGACGCCATATGGGAGGGTGCCCTTTTTGAGGGTCACTGTTTTCTGGGGCGTCATTTTTTTGAGGGTACCCTTTTCTGGTTGGGTCTTAAAGGCGGCCAAAAGGAGAACCACTATTTTATGGGGTGGTGGGCGAAATCCACGCCAGGCACCACTTGGGATAGATGAAGCCCTGTAGATGGTAACCCCGACTGGTGCACAAAATTGCTTTCCTCCATCCACAGTACGGCAAGAGAACACGTTGCACACCCCTCATTTGCGCCATCAACAAACCCATGAGTTTCTGTGGTTGAATTTCCTAAACCCCAGCCCCCCCCCCAAAAAAAAAAAAAAGAAACACTCAGTCTAATATTGGACAGCCCCTATTAATCAACTAGGGTTTATCCATCCGGGGCTGCCAAAACTGTAATTCCCTCTTGTTTTGTGGTCGAGCATGGTTTACTTGCAACATGTGCGGCATCCGGGGTTGATGTCTCCAAGTCTAACTGCGTAAAGTGCAAAGATTCTTGAACTTGGCAACCAAGTCACCCTTCCCCAATGTGGTTCTGCAGTACAGCAAGGGGCTTTGTTTGCCAATGATTGAGGTTCCCAATTGCCCATTGGTTTCCGAGTTCTCGCAGAAAGCGTATGAGCTCTTTGGGTATATAGGGAAACCAAAGGAAAACCGAAGCCATTCTTCCATTTGCTTCAGCCTCCTGCAAAAATACGTGGTAGATTCATACAACCGTACAACTAAAACCCATACCTCCAACACCCCTCCCCCTCCTGAAAATGCCAACATGAAAACTCCACCAACTCGTAGACCAAGTCGAACACTTGGGCAAGAAAAGGCGCGCCCAAAAAGACAGGCGCCCCGAGACGGCGCCTGGTCCGGGAGCTGCAGCCGCGCCAAGGCCCACAGGGTGTTGGCGGTGCCTTGGGGCGCCAACTCCGAGGCCACCCGCAGCACCGGCGCCTCAAGGCGTCTCTTGAGGCGATCGGCGGACAACAAGTTGGAATGACCCCGTAAAAACCAATCAACCTCTTTGGTCTTGAGACAAAGCTAGGGGTTGTTCTCGTCGCTTCCAACTCACCTTCTCAGATTGGTTCATCAACCCTGGAGGGCCCTTCAGGGCCAGAAATGAAAGGTGAGCAAAAAAGGATGTCAAATCAGGTCTGCACCGATCGGCAGAACTGAAACAAGAGATCCCCAAGTAGAGGACCCTGAAGAAAAGTCGCACTTTCGGATTTCCCCTGCCTTCAGCATGGCCGTGTCCCACGGCCCTTTTTGCGAGGTCCCCAATTTCGACGGCCGCAGCCTGACAGGTCTCAAAATCGGCCCATTCGCATCTGGAAACAAACCCACATGAGCAGCGCTTGAAACCTACTCAAAAGGTTTATCTTGGTATGACTACTCCGTTCCTGAGTAGCTTGACCAAACACAGTCCCAACTGGTCGTTTGCCAGCACAACGGTCTTTCCGAAATGTGAAGGACCAGGAACTCAGGGGCTGAGTTTAAGGTGCGTGTTCAAACTAGACAGAAAAGGCCCCCCCTTTTTTGAAGACAGGCCAAGATGTCACATTTTGGACCCCCTCCCTCAAATTTGCGAGATCGCTTCGTGGGGTTCAGAGCTCGTTTTCCTTTGTACAAATCGTTTTTGCCTGCATGCTCGCAGAAAATGGTCGCCCCTGTCTCGATACGACTCCCCCGCTACTCACGGGAGATGAAACCAAAACCAACAATTCCTCCTGACTGGGGCCAGGGTCTCAATTCCAGCTGGTGCCGATCGATCGTCGTGGGCCGACCTTGATGTTCACTGGGGATGGGTTCGAATCCGAAACGTGGCCATTCCAGGTTCCGAAAAACCGACAAGCCCCTCTACAAGTGAACCGTGAACCATGTGACAGTTGGGGGCGCGAAAAGGGCATACATATTCTGAATGAGATTCGGGGTGCGCTAACACCCAAGAAGAAAAGAAGAAGAAAAAAAACATGAGGGAAAGATGCGAGCAATTAGCCCCTCATAGCTAGCTGTATGGCGAACTACTTCGGATTGATCAGGGACCATATTGTCGTTAGGAAATCTTCGGCACTCCCTGTTCGATGCTAAAGAGGTTTTCCCCTCCCAAAAAGATGGGAGGTCTGCGCTAAGGAGTCAACGCCTCCGCAAAACCGGGCAATCAACACCAAGGTCATTGGGCCAGCCTGATCCGACCCGCAAACAGGTCTTGCTGCTGGCCAAAAGGAAATGGAGGGAACCTAAAAAATGTGTGTGTGTGTGTGTGTGTGTGAGGCTCGGTACCCTTTTCAGGTTGGTTGTTCGTCAGAACCACAAGACAACTGAAGCCATTTTGGGGTGACAACTATGTTGACACGGTTTTGAGCTGGGCATGTTCAGACGTGTTCCCCGCAAATTTGAAAGAACGATTTTGGGATGGTCACGCGGACCTGCGTTTGACAGACCCCCAGATTTCTATAAACAGAATATGCACACTCTTTTGGTCAAAGGCGCGCCCAACTAAAAAAAAAAAAAAACGTTGAGCCGGCGAAACAAACACGTTTTTCTTGGTAGTTCCGCCACATTGCTCAAGACATCCCCCCTCCCTCCCAAAGGAGTGAGTGGAGCTCACATCCCGGTCGAAGCCAAAAAATCAGACCGTCCGGCTAAGGGGTAGTTGCTTTGAAAAGGAAACCTCCTCCCAAAAAAACAGGAAAACACTACCATGAGTGCAGAGCTCCTGATGGCCCTTAGCTCCCTCTTTAGATGCAAATTTCGAGACCCCCTTCCAACCACCAGCTAGACAAAAGAAAAGAGGGGCGCCAGTGGAGGTCTGAGGCATTTGCTTCCCACGCAGCCCTCCGCTCGAGCGAAGCTTCGATCACCGAGCCATTCTGCTCGCCTGGCCAAGCGGTGCAGCGCCGTGCACACGCTCACCGCACCCAGCTCCACACATTTCAGCGCCCGCACCAGGCCTTCGAGTTGCCACGGTGCAAAACATAAACAAATAAGGGAGGGGGAGGGTCTGCAGCATGGTTCAAATCAACCCGTCCCGTGCGGCTTCCGCTCGTGCAAAACACATGTCGGCGCGCTGAACAGTTTCCGCAAAGCCCGCAACCTCTGTTTGGGGGAATGGGCAAACCCGTTTTGGGGAATCATGTCCCTTGAGCTTGCCCGGTTGTTTTTTCCTTTTTTATGTGGCCTCTGGCAAAAGTGATATCTACAAGAAAAAGTGGACATAAAGGAACTCTGAAGTCCACCAGAAATCTGGGCAGTCTAAACTGATCGCCTGCAAAAGGTTCAAATTTGAAGGCTGTCCCAAACACTTGTGGGCTGCATGGAAACCACCGTTCACCAACTAAAAACCACTAAAACGCCAAGTCGAACCGGAACCGCGAAGCTCAAAAGAGCTCCAAGCTATGGCACCCAGGGGATTGAGTTGTGACCTCTCCTGCGGCGTCCCCGCGCTTTCCGGCGCTCAAGATCTCCCGCTGCGCCGCCCGGGTGGCAGGGGACAGGCCCGCCAAAGCCATGGCTGGCGCGCGCGTCACCCACGTTGACGGGGAACGCCGCGGCTTTTTGGAGGAAAGCCGCGGGGTTGATTTCGGGTTGATAGGGGCTTGATTTAGGGTTGGTTGAGGGGGGTTTGGGCGGGCTTAGGGTCAACCGACCGGAAGTTCGGAAGAGACCCCAAAAGGGTTTGTTGGAGGAAAGCCGTGGCTTTTTGGCCGAACAAATCTGGGCCGCCCAGAAGAAGCAGCAACCTGGCTTTCTTAAGGATGGCGTCACTTGGTGTTATTTGTTGGGGGGATGCTTGCTCTGTGTTTTCAAGGGGGTTCTTTTTCTTTTTTTTTCTCTCTCTCTCTCTCTCTCTCATCACGAGGAAAAAAAGGGAAACCATGACTCTTTTTTGGAGACAAAGCGAGGTAAATCCTCTGGCTTTCCAACCTCCACATGGATATTAGCCATATAGGTCAAGAAAAGTTTGCCCCTCGCACACATACAGCCAGGTGACCCTGAAAAAAAAAGTGGTATGGATTGGTGGTTTGGATCTGGATTTGGATTTGAACCTCTGATTCTAGTATAGGGTAAATGCAATCCACAGAGGGTAGATGATACAGGAGCCATGGGATTTAAACCAGCTTTTGGTTGCCGGATACGTCCTCTCTCTGCGGTGCTTCTCCGTGAAGGCGACGGTGGCGGGAAACATGCTCACCGAGAAAACAGCAACACGCGGACAAGATTGCTTAAAGAGTAAAAAGAGGAATTTGAGCAAAACTATGTGAGCAACTTCTGGGCGATGCCATGCTCACGCCAGTGGACAGTGAACAAATTAACAACTTACTTGGCTCCTTGATTTCAAAGCCCCACCCCGAGATCCTCAGACTTCTCAGAAGGGTTGGGGGAAGGGCAGGTCGAAGTCCCGGAGTATGACGCCTCGCGGCCTCTTACTCCCTTCCTGAGTTGATGGGCCCAAACAAAAAGTCCGAACCTTTTTTGCCACTAAAATGGTCTTCACAACCTGTTTAAAGATCCATGAGCTCAGGCAGCGAGCTCTTGCCAGGGCATCGATCGGATAGAAGTCAATTGGCCCGAAAAGGGGCGGGGAGAGGCGCCAACGGTAGCCGGAAATGGGTAAACTACAGGTCGAAGGGCCTTTCATGTTGGTAAGAGATGGTGGGAGGGCAACAGTTGGTCTCCTTCACAATGATGCACTGATAGAGCTTTTAGCCTTCAAACACAAAGCCGCAAACCCCTTTGTATTCCGCTGCCCCTAGGGGGGTCCCCCAATTCCATTATGTTTAGCCTTCCCCAAGAAAAGGGGGAAAATAGTGCCACAAGCAGAATTTCAGGGGTAACCTCCCCTCCTGCAAGTCCATTTGTAAGGAGGTGGGGATCTTTTTGCAACCTGCCTAGCAATACTTTAGTTTATACACCCCACCTCCCCTTTTAGAAAAACACCTGTGGCCGAGCCATCGAGTTTGAAGTTGTCTTAGGTGTGATCATCTAAACCACCCAGTCAAAATTGTCTACGGGCTGGAGGCTACTTTGCGATTCCCCATGCACCATCCGCTCCGCTCAAGATTAAAAGCCATCATGTGTAGAGGAAACTGTTTTTTCACCACAAGGTGTCCCCACTGCAAAGATCCCACCCTGGTCAGAGGGCCTCCTAAACTAGACCTGACATCCTTACATACGATATATACATATATATAGATATATATATATATATATGTGTGTGTGTGTGTTATGTGTGTAAATAGAGGGGTACGCCCTCTGATAAACATAAACCAATAACCTCCATACCTCCAAAACCCATCCCTGAAGCTGCCCTTGACACATCTTGAATGGGGGGGAGGAAGTACGTCCTAGCTATCTCACAGACCTAGGCCAAGCGAGTTGAGAGCGAAGCTCAACTTTTTGAGTCACAGCGCATGCGGTCAGAAAAGAACTTGGGTGTGTCTCTGACTGGGGGACCCCGAAAATGGGCGGCGGGAACCCCCGCTGTCCGATTCCAAAAATCCCTCAATTCGAAGCCCCCAATAGGGCACCCTCCGCAAAACGCCAGAAAAGCTCGACCCTCGAACAACTCGCCCCTATATAGTTTTCGCAACAGAAAACTCCTCCACTCACAAGGAAAGGGAGAAAAGAAAAAACACGTCCACCCCAAAAGGGTACCCCCAGCCTTCGCACCACACCTCCCATTTCAAAGGTTCGGCTCGGTTCCCTCAGGGAACGAGCTGCAACCGATGGGTTTCGGTGAATCAGCGCTTCTGGCTTCAGGAACTCCATGCACAGCGAGCCTCGGGGCTAAGCCGGTTGCCCGGGTGCCCGGGTACCCAGAAATAAACTTGGGGGCTGGGATTGAACCCAGGGATCCCCTCAAAGGAAACCACAAGGGATTGTTTATTGGTTTATTGTGGTCATTCCATGTCTCATTCACTGCTGAAAACAAGCAAGTAGATGCAGGTTCTTCCAGTCCCTTGCCTGAGGAAAGCCGCGTGCTTTCAGTTGCAGGAGGCAGCCAAGGGAAACTCTGGCAAACCCGAAGGTTACCTGCTACATTGGTAACGTTACCTGCTACATTGGCAACTGAAGGGTGGTTTGGTAGATAGCACGCCGTTGCACAGTTACCCAGAAAGCGGTGAGGCCAGCACATCACTTAGGGGAAGGTCTTACAACAAGGGAATCCGCAAAATTATGGGTTTTGCCCTTGCCCTCTTTCCACTCACTTGCTAGGACCCGGTTTATGAAAGGTCAACCTTGTTGGGTTGCCAGTAAACAATGTTGCCAGAAAGGGAATCCAAAAGGTCAGATCCGGGCGATTCGCTTTGGGCATGTGAGAACCCTTGTTTGAAAAACCCGCCCCTTCTTTCGGGGGGGGGGGGGGGGCTCCAAATCATTGGTGTCTTTTCGGGAAAATAGACGGCCCTGGTAGCTGATGAAACCAGCAGGTCAACCAGGGCCATCTATTTTCTTCCAAACCACCGACAAAAAACACACCCAGCACAAATCCCTGAAAGTGCCCCCTTCTAGTGGGCATCCGGATTGCTTTTGTGGGTGACGCCCCCTGTTAATAATAGGCTTAATCTTGGGTTCCCACTACCAAAGGGAATCACATGTAATCATAGCTTTCAGCAGCGCATCCAAACCGAGTTGTGAGAATTGCCCTAAAACCTCCGCTGTCACAATAGGTTTTGCAAAGCATAGCTTGTAAAAGAATTATATACTCTCCCACCAACGAACTTGGGAATGCACGGGTCGCATGCTCAAACATCTGCATTCTGGGTAGCATATGCCAGCTCAAGCATGCTTAGACCACCGGCATGTTTGCTGGTTTCCCAAAACTGGGCGGACGGTTGTCCTGAACCTGTGGGATAGCTGCCTGTTGCTCACTATGCAATGCCCTCATGAAAATGAGGGCTTGAGATATCATAACCGTATGGGTATGTGTCACAATACGGGGGAGCCAATGATTATGGTGTCCTTTTGGCGTCCCTTTAAGCCAACCAGAAACATATCCACCGGGGCAATGCCGGCAATGCATCCAGGGCACGATAAAAGCTGCCCAAAAGGCGATGTTAGAACCCCATTGCTTGGGGCTACCCATGGTCATTGTACCTTTCAGGGAATATTGAGATCAACCGCCACATGATTTGTCAAATTAAACCACCAGGAATTGGACCGCAGGTTTTAGTCGATCATTTACCAAATTTTCCATTTTGGGCGTTCCCCTGTGTTTGGCCTCTGAGCCCTGAGTCCGGGGAAAGGCGATGAGACTTTCTCCTCTCAACGCCCCGAGCAGCCGGCTGTCCCTTGCATCATCCTCCTGCGCAAGGCACGGATACGTTTCCTCATTGAAGAGCGCACGAGAAGGCCGTAGGTTTACCACGGAAATAAATAGAAACATGCCCCGCTTGATTGATTGGGTTCCTTTTTCCCCAATTGATTTGCCACACAAATCCTTCTGACTGCTTGGGGAAGGCAAACGCGTGTCACTAGCATCTTTTGGGTGCAGGGGATCAGAGATCAGAGTGTGGATTGGGGCGTGTGCTTTTTTGGGAGCCCTTCTTTTGTCTCGGTGTGAAGGGAAGCCAAAAGGCAAACAGGTAAGACACAAATTGTGCGGCACGAGCTTTGGTACCCAGAGTCTTAATGGGATATTCATTCTAAGATCTGGGTGTATATTTCGCGTTGTGCCTGGAGGGTCATGGTTTGGGGATGGTACCCTTACTTGGACACATACCCATTTCCAGGGGGCCTGATACGCGGGTTATTGAGAATGTGCTCCCCCGAAAAATATTGTTGAACGGATGTGTCCATTCTCTGCGATTTCCCCATGCGAAGATCATTCAAGTGGCAGGCAGCGAAACGGTTTGCAGGAGCTCCTGCGGCCGGTGGACACACTCACAAACACATAGGGTATAGGCTTTCGTGTTGTTCTTGTGGAACTCAACTGTCCAAATCCTCTTGCGAGTTTTGGTTGAAGTCACCCAGGCCCAGAGGAGTGGACGTCCCGACCCGAAGCGCCTTTGGCATGTTTGTCCGACAGCCGGAGACGGCCCACCTCGCAAGGTCTCGCGCAGTGCGTTGCATAGTTTTCGGGAGATCTCAAAATAGCGGATCCCCTTCTCGCTTCGTCACTTCCTGAGTGGATTGGTCAGAAAATGTCCATTTGTTTGTTTGCCCTAAAATGGTCTACCCAAACAGTTTAAAGAAAGAAAGCTCACCACCCGACTAGCCCTGAGGTTGAAAAACTGAGCCTGGGGACTGGCTGGTCCTCCCGAAAAAGCTCCCAGCGGCTTTTTGGCAGACCGGTCCGTCCAAAAAGCTCCATGGGTTCCCACTAGATTCGAAAACCCATCGGATCCATCCGAAATGCCCTGACTTCCCTTGAAGCTGCGGAACCCCACGCTCGCCAAGGAGAGGGTTGCTGGCTCTTTGTCACGGGTGTGTCTCAAAATAGGCCCCCAAAATGGATGGCGTCCAATTCACCCCCAAATATGGGTATCGAGCCGCGAAAAACACCTCACCCCAGGTGTAACTCAATCCCCCCCCCCAAAAAAAAAGAAAAGAAAAGTTGCGCC